CGACCAGTAGTAAATCATTTAAAATTGGTATAGGCAGTAATAAAATAGACAAATCGTAGAGTACATATTTAGTTGAGACTATATAACATTCTGCTGCAAACTAGAATAAAATGAGCATCATAATAACATATGATAAATCATTAAATAGAGTATAAACCAAAAAAATAATTTCACAAAATACATCTACAAAATTAAATAATGCCAATAGGCGTCCAAATAAGATATATATGCTTTGCAAAGATAAAAATCAAGTTCGAACTAAAATAATATTAGCACTTCTTAATGTATATTACACTTTCTTAATTAATCACTATCCGGTAGGGTTCACAAAAAATTCGAATAATCATTATGATTAATGATCAATTAATGTCTTCTGTCAATATGTAAAATCTCATATACTGTTTATGAATACGGAAATCATATGTTTTGCTGCATGTGTCATAATTTATACAGGGTATCCCAGAACTCAACATCAAGCCGAAACGTGGTGATGGTATTGACATTTTTTACTGCAAATTTTTAAATAAGAAAATCATCAAGTGTTTTATTATTTTACAATTTTAATTGAATACGCAAACATTTAATTAAACAACACACTTTAGTATATTTTTTTAAAGGAGGGCCTCTCAAGGTCAACCAATTTTAATAATTTTAAATGGCAAGTTTAACAAAAAGTCTTAAAGGGTTAAACCATAGTACATTTTTCGAAAAAGCAAAAAAAAATTTAGACTCAAAATATACTTTGAACTTCTTAGAATATGAGGAAAATACTTCATACCTTGTTAAGGCATAATTTTTAAGGGACAGAATTGCTTTCGAAAGATCCTCAGGAAATATGGAAAATAGCTACAGTGAATTCTGATTTGCGATAATTTTAGAAAAATTTGCCGCTGAAATGTTCGGATCGATTACATCATTAGATGTTATACAAAAAGATTCATTAACAAAATAGTTATTAAAAGTATTTGCTATAATTATTTTAACATTGACTTTTTTATTGTTAATATTGAGATATTCTACGTCTGATGAGCTTTATTTATAATTAATTTCTGATTTAATTAGTTACCACATTGCTTTCTGCTTATTGTGCAAATTATAAATAACACTACTATTATACTTGATTTTTGCTAATTTACAAAGATCATTAAAAAGTTGTCCGTACTTTAAGAAATAAATCGTAAAACCGATATCGCATTTGGTTTTAGACACTCTTTCTAGATTTAGTAATTTATTGTAAAAAATTATCAAGCCTTGAGTATACCACGCGATTTATTACAATTATTAACTTAGATTTTATATTTTTATAGCGGCAAAGCAAGAATAAAATTATGTAAAAAAAATTATACACGAATCAAAAGTAACGTTTACATAAGATTGGTTACACGCCTCATTTTTTAATAATTTTTTGCATAAGAGTTTAATTTTATTGCCAAAATTCCTTTGATATTGGTAATTAATAGATGGTGAAGTTGTGATAATTAATAAAGATGAATTCTGTAGTGATCAGAAATACCCGTATTAATGACAAATGATTTTATATCAGTTAAATTTGTAAACAAATTATCAATGTAAAATGATGAAGAATTACTTATTCTCGTGGGATCATTTATGGAAACAACCCAAATGAATCCATGCTATATTTAAAACTTTCGCTGATTTTAGTGCTTTTGCCCAGATGGATATCAAAATCATTGCAAACAATAATAGAATTATATTTATAAAAAAGTTCTTCCCTGAGGGCAAAAAGTAAATGTATAAACTTATTAGCATCTTGATCTGAAGCTCCATATACGCAAAGAATACAATAAGTAGCTAGAGAAAAAATGCTACCAAAGAGCAAAATTCATTTTTTTTGATAGGTACAACATTTGCTATAATATTATAATATTTATTTTTACCGACAAAAAATACAAATGCCTCCATGCTTAAAATAATTTCGGCGGAAAGAGTTGCATAAATAAGTAACCGGTTGATTTAATCAATTTGAGCTTCATGTCGTTAAGCCAATGTTCCGAAAAGCATAAAAATTAGGTTTATAGTCATTTAAAAGTAATTCAACTTTAAGTAATTTGTTAGGAAAATTTTGAATGTTTTGACAAAATATAGATGATGAAGCATCACCAAAGTCAAAAGCGCATGAACCGAAAGTTTCGGGAATTTGGCAGAGTCAGCGCTTCTCTAACGAAAAAACGACTAAGCTTCTGCTTTGCATTGGAAAGAAAATGGAGACCATGCCTGGTATAGTCAGCGTACCTATTGGCATCAAAGACCTTAACACCCCTGAATTTACCACGAACGAAATCATGATAAATACAACGATTTAATTAGAAAATTCTAGGAGTCAGGTCATGATTGCCATATCGAATTGTAACAAAACAACAGTTTGTTTTACTACAAGATCGACGAGCGAACTTTAGTGCTCCAGGAATAGCATAATCAGAGTCAGCGACGTTCGTCCGGGCCATAATAACAACATGATCTCGAGCACCAGAATCACCCAGCCAGTTCTCCTATGCCAGCAACCATGCTGAAAAAGCCCGCACCTGGTTTGACCATTCCGAACTCACTAACTTTAGAACCTAACAATCCACCTAAGAACTGGGACCAGGACAGCCATGGATGACAGACAAAATAAGTACTTTGGGCGTTGGTGAGGAAAAGGAAGATAGTCCAGTCGTTTGAGCTTAAATTAGGTAATAATCCCGAAATTTAAGATACCCAGCTGTAAGTCTGCAAGTACTTGTATATTGACATTCAAAAGTTGTCTCAAAACCTACATATGGTACGCATACCCTACCTAAGAACTAAGTGAAGTGGAGTGGACTCGACTAAGAAGGAAGTGGAGTGGACGCTTTGATCTGTTCTTTTTGGATGTTACCTTCATTTCAGGTTGCATATTAATAGAATTAGAATTAATGCTTTGCAACATAAAATTGGCAATTGCCAGCTTTTTTGTAAGCTTTGCAATCATTCTGTCTTTCTCATTGCGCAATACATTCTGCGAATTAATAATTAACCGCAAACTAATACAATCGGCACAAATAACGGTACAATTTAAATTAAAAGACTCATCCACAACTGAGTCATCAAAAGAATTTTGACTAATCTGGTTTCTAGTATTGACCATCTTGATTTTAATTTTAATCCATGATACACAGACACAGGTAACACCTTGAGAAACAGGTAACAACTTGATACCGGCAGGTATTAGAGTTTTCGGTAAAATTTGTTTGATTCACAACGGTATTCAAAAGACCAGGTATATTATTCTTTTTTGTAGGTTTGAACTTATTTATTTTGAGAATTATAGATATAAATAAAAATTATTCTATAAATTTAATTTAAATAATATAATTATTTTTAAGACGTGTTGACCCTACGACGGCCCTAGAAATGTTATTCACGGTCACGCTTTATAAATTTACGAACAGACTTTATAACAATAATAATTAACAACAAAAACTGAAAAAGTGTCATGATTTTACCAAAGCCTTAGGTTGCACTTAAAAGGTTATAATTTCCAAACGATGTGAAATAATTTTTTTCAGAGCAGTTAAGACCAATACTATCTTTCCGTTTCGGCTTTCTGGTTGAGTTAAGTTCTGGGACACCTAGTATACTGTCAATATACATTAGTCAATAATTGATAATAAAATTAATATTACTTTGGAAAACGCATAATTTTACAGATGAATGAATCTTTCTACTATTTTCATTTTGAATTTTGCAATAACGAGTTTTCGAGATAGATACGTATTTCTATATATAGAAATGAATATGTATAGAAAGTATTTCCTTGTTTTTATGTCATTAATATTCACGTGCGTTTGAACAAAAAACTGTAATTTCATCTATCAGCAATTTACATCAAAGGTTTTGACAAATTTTTATTATATACAAGTTAAAAAATAACATTAATAAAATGATTAACTACCGGAATCTGTATTGTTCTATGCATTACAGGTGCGATATAATAAACGTTAAATTTCTACGTAGAACAGTTAATTATTCCAAAAAAAATTTCTACAGTCTTTAAAAAAATAGTTACAGATATATTGTTCCATTTAATGATTTGATAATTCGGTAACAGTCAATAAATTTAGATCGACTTTCTAGATGATAATTCGACTATTCACGTATGATTTAAATAAATAAATTTAGCTCAATGTATAATTTGTCTTAAAAATAAGACATTTATATATCTATGAATAATAATTATATATATTATGTATTCTGTATTGTGTACTAGCTTTTGGTCTCTAATTTATATGATTTTATACATAGTAAACAGCCGATCTGATTTATCTTCATAAATGTATAAAAATGATCTTGGATAGTAAGAGATTATTTTAATATACATAATATATTTACAAGGTTTCTTAAAGCTTAAGGAATGAAACGTCACAAAAATGACAATGTGATGTTTTAAAAGTTTAAAATTTAAATTTGAATTAAATGAAATTTGTCATTACTCATAATTTCGAATATGAATATTCATTCAATTGAGTCATAAACGCTATTATTTATATATATATATATATATATATATATATATGTAATTATATTATATATATAATATAATTACATATAGATACATATATATATATATAAGTATATTTATGTTGGTATATCTCTTTGTTAAAATTTCTAAATATTTTATATAAATTGTCTCTGATATAAACATTTTTATAAACGAAGAGATATGCAATGATCTGCATTCTCGTAATCATTTTGTTATTTAATCAAATATAGATTTAGGGTCACATTTATACAAATATCATAAATAATAGTACATATTTTTTTTAAACTCACCACCTCCATTGGCACGATCCAATATTAGTAAGAAAAATGCACGTCGCACCTCCATTTCAATTCAAATTTTTGCACTTAAAACTTTGAACCCTTTCAAAGGTTTATTTATTAATTTACTTAACTTCAGGGCAATCGGCTCCTTGCTTGAGACACAGTTTAGAACTCGGATCGGAGCCGGGCCCGGACCACTACTGCCGGAATACAAGGAATCCTCCGGTCGGATCCCAATCACCGGATTCAGAAGGGCCGAAGCAATCGTCAAAGAACGCCTCAAGTTGACGGTAGACGTGAGGTTGGACACCTCGTAAGTGGTGGTCTTCGTCTGGGTACATCTGATACATGATTTAGAAAAGTTTAGGATTGTAAAATAAATATAAAAACGACAAAATCTCCGATCTAGTAATTCTTCTACATGATACTTAAAATGTTATAATTTTTGTTGTTCCCTGGCCCATTCTACTTTAAGTGACTAATAAGTTAAATGATCTATTAAGTTTTTTTTTGTAAAATACAAAAGCATTATGCCAACACATTTGGCATTGGGGAGGAAATATGTTTGCAAGTTTGTGCTGAATTTTACAAATTTCTCATTAGATCATTGGAACTCAATAGTCATTTAAAGTAAAAAGATCTAAGAAACGTCAGAAATTATGAAATTTTGATTATTATGCATAAAAATTACTAGATCGGAGATTCTGTCGTTTCCTTAAATTTCTTTTAATTTTTTGCTTTTTGACTTTAGATTCTTGTGCAGCGTTAAAATCTACAATGGAAAAAAGCATATGCTACACACCCAATACAAATAACTTTTTTTATTTTGTGGGTCTGTGTTATTAGTACATCTTATTAGTTACTGAAGTTTTTATAAATTAACACGTCAGATTTATATAAATATTATAATAATATAATAATAATATTGATAATAGCACATGCTTTTTTTTAAAACTCATTCTAATTTTCACATGCAATCTGAAATTATATTGAATTGATATATGCAATATTAAGAATTATATATGAATTATGTTTTAGGTACATGCTGATATGTTACAGGCTATTTTCACGTGAATAGATGTTATATTTTGTTTCACTGCTATATTTGATAATGATAGAGCCAATAATTTCAATTGATTAAATTAATTAAATTATGAACCATTTAAATTAACTAGTTAAAGTTCATATTTATAAAGAGTTATTTAATTATAATGATTGTAATTATAACTGTAATGACCCTCTAAGGGGCCTTGAATAATTTTACGATTAGAATATATATATATTAGAATTGTTATATTACATATGTCAGTATGATATATTGAAAATATTGTGAATATAAATATAAATATAAATATCAATCATATAAATATGAATAAATTTATAAAAATATTTATATATATAAATATAAATAAACTTATGTATAATCTTATACATATATGTATAAGGTCTATGGATTGAGTTTAAATTTAAATTCTATAACGTTGTCAGAACAACTAATGTATTTTTTTTATTCAACTTAGCTATTCAGCCTGAAATAACATTTTTGAACACAAAAGTGCGAATATTATAATAGACCGCTGTGATTTTATATAATACAGTAAAATTGAAACAGATTTTTCTCATTTGCTTAAAGAGGCATGTTCTTACTCATTTTGTACCCTATTTATTTAGATTTAAAACAATGATTCGACCTATATATGATTAGAAGACTAATAATTCATTCAGTCGTATAATTCAGATTTTAATGAATTTCAAGTTTTCTCATAAAAAAATATTTACAATTCTATCGCAATCTTTTTAAACCATCTCGGTTCGAATTTTTTCGAAATATTCTGTACCTCAAAATTGAAATTCGATCGTATTAAATAACTCCAATTCAAATTAATAAAACTTCTCCAAATAAGTTTTAAAATTACTTGTTATTTGTGTTAGTTATTAAAGTTATTAAATTTTACCTGATGTCGAAAAATCACAGCTTGATCAGTAAGAGCACGAACCATGGACAAGGCATGTTGCGAGTGAATCAGAGTATCGGCAGAACCGTGCAATAACATGAAATCTCTACCATTTAAATTTCCTGCTCGTTTTGTCAAATCTGCTTCTTCATAAGATCGGAAACTATCGACTGCTAAGCCTCTTCCAAGATATCGTTCAGCAAAAAATGTATCTAGTAAGAACAAAATTATATATTTACTGCCAAAACAAATAATCTAAAAAAGTAATTCCCAACGCGGGGTGCACGCATTACAAGAGCGCAATTTCCAAATTCACGGAGAAAAAATAAAAAATGACACGACTTAACCCATTCGTTTTGGGTGATTTGAATGTAAGGTAGATATTTTCTATATTTTACATACTTAATATTGTACCAAGATAAATAATATTGCTATGAAAAAGAATAATTATAAATTAAATCTATATAACATTGCATTCCTACTTTATGTTTCCTTTTTAGTATGCGTATATTTCACTTATGAAGTTCACAACTAATAGTGATTTCTAAAGACATATATTATATTTCAAGAAACAAAATCATTTTTTAAATTCTAAAATGTTATATGAAGGCCATAACGTTTTTAGAAACGTTAAGGTGGGGCGTGACCCGTAAAAGGTTGAGAAACACTGGTCTAAATTGTAAGTTAATCTGAAATATTTTATATTTTTATTTAAACATAAAATAATGAGTTTGAAGCATAAAATAGATCACAAAACAAGTATTAGTTGAACAGTCGATGAAAAATATATGACCAGTCCTTTGAAGGGTGCCAATTGTTTTTGAGAACGTATTGGTATGTCCTACTCGTACGTACCGATAGCGTTTATGCTTGACGCATTTATGCGTCTTGCCCGGTTGCCAAGTCTAATAAAACAAATGCCGACATTATAACGATATTTATAGTTATTAAGTTTCTATATAAAGGGTATGGGCGTGTTTTCATACAGAATCAGCCCCACCCTGGTATTCCAATTATTTTGATGCCATTTTATAGGTATTTCAGAGAAAATTCGAAATAGCAAATTTCAAAACCATAGCTCATCATTTGGCCAAGATATCAGTGAAAACATATGAAAGTGGCCCCTTTTTTCAAACTCACTTTTTGTCGGAAATATGAGAGATATCAAAAAAATATTAACGTCATTCTATTTATACTAATTTTGTCTATATTGTTTATAACAAATAATTGAAAAAGTTATTTGTTTGTTCGTGAAAAGGTGAAAATGATTTTTCATTTATTATTTACTACCAGTGCGACTCTTTGGACTACTTTTAAATTAACATCATTGGAAAGCCTGTACATTTTTCGTCTGTTGTTGAAAAATTCATTTAAATTTAGGTGGAACTTTGTAGTTAAAAGTTGGAAAAACTTAGGCTAGTACACGCGCTGCCGGTACAAGAACACCCATATAAAGTCGCTTTACAAAATATAATTTGGATTTTTTCCTAATTCTCAAATTCTCTGAAAATAGTTGGAATATTCTTCAAATAAGTGATTCGACACATAAATATAATTCAAATTTAAGTTTTTGCCTACATCTATATCTATATACGTTTATGTTACTGCAAAAGTAAATTCTATTAGTGCACAATAGCATTGGCAGTTGTTGGATTTTTCTGTAGATTTAATTCAATGTCATACTTACCAGTAATTAAGTAAATGTTTTACCTTGATAAATCCAATTTGTGGGAGGATTGACACTTGCCGCACATTGAAGAACGCTTTGAGAGTCTTGCGCAAGCATCATAGCAGCCACGTAACCGCCGTAGCCCCAACCCCAAGCTGCTATTCGAGATGAGTCGATGAATTTAAGAGTATCGCGCAAATATCTAAATAGGAGTTAATAAAGATAATAGAATTTATTAATAATGAATATTTTACCCATATTAGCTATAAAGGTATAATAGTTAATTACTCACGTGAGTACCGCAAGTTGATCCTCAGCGTCTACGGATCCAAGTTTTCCCTTAACTTCGGCTCTCATGCGCTGGCCTTGGGCGCCTGATCCACGGGCATCTATTTGGGCCACCAAGAAGCCTCTTGCGCCGCTGAGGTACCAACACCAATCCACGGAAAAACGCTGGGTTACAAGCTGGGCTCCAGGCCACGCATCTCTGTTTGAAATGATAACATATAATCATTAAAACTGCTGTCGTTATATAACTTTAATGAGTACAAAAACAAATCCCAAATATTTGTTCTAACAGTGCGAAGACTTAAGTAGCTTCTGCGAAAATGATATTTCTGAGATAAAGAATAGAATGTGCTAAAAAATGATCATTTACATTTAAGAACCAAAAATGATTATTGGATACAAGTACAGCGGAATCTCATTAATTCGGCATTATTAAAACCCAGATGGTACCGGAATGCTGTATTATTGTAAGCAAGTCATAGGATATTGGAAATAGCAGAAAAATTTCAAACTGGTTTTCAAAAAAATGTTTAGAGCTTCGGTAGCTGAGGGCGTCGGATTATTGGAAGTATTTTCTACTGTGTATAACATTATCATATTTTTTAGAGAAATCAAAATAACTTTCTTTAAAATTTAATAACGAAATATTTAGAAAATAAACTTTACTTCAATCCTACGATATTTTTTAAAGTGAACGGTATAATAATTGAAAATGAAAAAGTATATATTATTATATCTGTTATATAATATTCTTGCACAACTAGTTAAACCGATTACTAATACTTTAAAATATTTAATGTTCACCAAATTTTTAACTTCCCGAAGAAGTGTATGTTTTCATCAAAAAATTCGATTCGTTAATTTTATGTTTTCTCGACGTTTCAAGCCATTCTGAATCGAATGAGACCAAATTTGGAAATAGTATGTGTGTGTGTGAACAGATTTTTTGCCGTAATTAGACGTTTTCTCAAAAACGGCTGGATCAAATTCAAAAATTTGAAAGCAATTTGATGTATCTCGACGAGGACTAGCGTTTCTCAGTTTTGTGCGGCGATCGACCGAGCCGTTTCTTTGTAAATCACAGAAAAGTAAAAAAATTTTCGTCCACGTTTTAGCGCGCAATTCTGAAACGATTTTGAAAATTAAAAAAAACCGGTCGATAAATATTAGTTGGGAATCGTGCTGTGCTAGTTTTTGGTAAAGATCGGCCGGGCCGTTTTCTTGTAATTAAGTGTTAAAAAACTTTTTTCTTCGATTTTTATGAATTTTTATTTGATGGTAGATACCACAGTCTTATAGATCATACTAAAATATTACAGCCCTACGACAATTCGTTTAATTTTAAAAATTCGTCAAAGTTTGCAAAAATTAATATCGTTTTTCTGACGTTTGTCAAAATTAGAAATTTCATCGACGTTTTCTCAAAAATGCCTGAACCGCTTTCATAAATTTAAAAGCCATTTGATGTATCTCTATGAGGACTATAGTTTGTCAGTTTTATGAGACGATGTGCCGAGGCCGTTTCTTTGTAATTTGAAAAAAAGTGTTAAACTTTTTGTTTACATTTAAGCTCATACTACCAAATCGATTTTGAAAAATCAAAAACTGTTCGAAAGATATTAATTGATAATAATACTAATTAGTTTTAAGTAGAAATCTACCGAGCCGTTTTCTAGTAATTAACTGTTGAAAATAAATTTGAGTCTTATAGAACTTACTGAAATATTACGGCCTTACGACAAATAGTTTAATTTTGACAATTCATCAAAGTTTGAGAAATGAGTAGTTTTTTTGACGTTTGTTAAAATTAAAATTAGACAATTTATATGGTATAACGATAGATTACTTGATCATAATAAACACACTAAACCATTCAAGTCCTATAAAAACTGGTTCAATTATAAAAATTATTGATTTGTGAACATTTGCTTCTAGAAAGTTTATTTTTTATTGATTAAGTCGATTATTTACACATATCTGGAAGTTCATGTAACTTGTCTCAAGGCTAAATACCAATATCAACTAGATAAATTTGAAATTTTCAACAGCCATATTTTAATATGCATGTGTGACATGACTAGAATTCTTTAATTTTTTATGAAGTGATTCAAATTAAACTTACACGTGCAAAATTAATGGAAATGCTGCATCTTCTTCCTCTTTAAGACCAGGTGGCAAATAAAGGCGTACTTGCGCGTGATAACCATCCTGAATTTCCACTTCGAAGGTTTTGATTTGAGGAGCTGCTATATTTGCAACCCGTTGACGGAGGATGTTGCCTATATTAAATTTATTAGATTCATAAACAAATCTTATCACTTAATATACGATGGTTTCAGAACACAATATATTTCAATATTTTCTAAAGAAAGGCAATTACATTAAAAAGCAAAGCTTATTCAAGTTACTTAACCTTTAACGAACGAGCGTATTGCCTAAAACTATGCCCAGTAGGTCGACGGATTTTTAAGAAATTAAGTTCTTCTTTTTCAAAGCTAGAGAAGTTGTATAATTATTATTGCTTTATTGGATTTGTATTGTTCGTCTGATATTGCTTGTTGATCATTCAAATTTGATTTCCAGCTGCATGATACCCATATTGAAATTACAGAAAGAAAAGCCCAAAATTCTTAGGACGTCAGCTGCGTGTAAGGGGGCATTCGATTATTTTCGAATAATTACAATGAGTATGGCGGCACTCGTTCGTTAGAGGTAAGTTTATCACATTTTTTATTAAAAATATTTTTTTTAGAAACTTATCTTTATGAAATATATAATTGAAACTAACTTTTTTAACAAAACATATTTAAGCACAATATTACTAGAAAGCAAATGTGTGAATTTGCCTTCTAGTAAAATTATTATTATTATTATAGGCAATCTTGCTATGTTTTACTTCAAAATTATGTATGCATGTATATATATATATATATATATATAATTGGAGACATATGTAACATGTCACATATTACACTTATGAGCTAATGCTAAACATACCGGAGTCGAGTACTGCCATTCTAGTATTCGAAACTGCGTCAACCAAATAAACACTAGGCGCTGAAGGCCCCAAACATCTCTGGACATAATACGTGAAACCAGGACTGAACGAAATCTCATTATATAAACATTCATCAGTATCGGGCGCTACATCGCTTGGTGCTGGATGTATATAATTACTCAATATATTCAAGAATGGAAAATCATCCTCTTCCGTTTCTTGAGCTTGCTTAGTTATATCCCTTGGCTCTATTGGCTCCAAAGGTTCTTCTATGGGTATACTAATATTACGATTATTAGCATATTGAATAATTTGCTTGTAAGGACCTGTCGGACAAGTTAGACATTGCGGCTTTTCGTAAGTGTCCAAAGGGCGACTGCCGTTTGAGTCCATTCGAGCGGTAAGTGGTAAAGGCACACGGTATAGTTGACGCTCACCTGGTCGAGATGGTGGAGTCGCTAAAACGTACCTGTGAAAAATAAACATGAATTAATTTAAGACATTTTAATTTGATTTTGAATATGAAATGCAGATTCTGCCTTAATGGTTAAATTACGAAACATTATGCTTAATTTGTTTTTTTTCCAAGGTAATTGAAACTAAAAGATCGCCTATATATTTTGCAATGCATGATTTATTCCAATATATTATATATTGAAATATATGATTATAACAAAATAATTTATTATATGGGAAGATGAAACAACATCTGAATTATATTGTATATTTATATAACTTTATTAACATCGAATTACTCATAGCAATATTATAATCTAAAATTATAATATTATAATATAATATTGCTACGATTTGTATGCCATGGCTGACTAAGGTCGAAGAGACTCTGATAAGATTTTCACTCTCTTTCATATCCGAAACTTTAGTAAATCTAATGGCATGTGTATTAACAATATCCAGAATTTTTACCAGGGTCGCACTAGAAGCAGGGATGTAATTGGAAACGCAGCCTATTTTTGTGCATAACACATCATGAAATTTTGTTTGGTGTCATATAATTACTATGTACCATATTACTTTAATTATGGAATTAAGTCATTCTGTCATTATTACACTTGCGAAGTGTGTGAGTAAATTTACCGAGCGCTAATGAATATTGCAACAATCATTATAACTTTATGTATCTTTATGTATTTCTGATTGCTAGATAAAACAGAGTTAAAAAAAATCATCAAAATAATCTTTATAAAATATAATAAGCTAATATGTTTAACAAATATATAATGGTGCGAAGAGGATAACGGACTCTTGCCACTTCCACAAACTATAATGGCAAATACGTTGATTTGAATGTTTGTTTACTCTTTTTTTGGTAGTACCAATTCGGTACATATTTGGGCGCATTTGTAATTTGTTTCAAAATTTTATTCAGAAATCTTTGAAGTATTGCTATATTTGACTCAGTTACTGCACTCTATAATTGGATAGCATAAGCCGAGATGGGCTTGATTATAGTTTTATAAATTACAAGTTTTTTTTTTTAGAAGTTAGTTCACTATGGAAACTACCTGTAAGCTAGTAAGCCAGTATACCTGCCAGCAGACGAGCTATTTTTCCTTATTTATGGGGTTTCCTTATTTATCGTGCGACGACTAAACGTTATATTACATCTATATTATTATTTTGAATATGAAATTTTCTACAGATATAAAACAGTGAATTCGTTAAATAAAATCGATAGTTTGCTGAAATAGATTTCATTGAGAAATGATTGATTAATTTTCATTATTTTATTAAACTTTTTTTATATTATAACTTTTAGTAAAAGTTAAACCATTCTATTTTGTTCTCCATGATATGAATTGCTGCCTGATGGAACATGTTGAGTATCGAAGGTTATCAATATATCTTATAGACTTCATGTATGTGCTATCAGAGTGACATCAGAAAGTTGCACTTATGATTGAATTGATATTTGACATTTGTACTTTTTAGTGATTAGCTTTTGAAGAAATTTTATTTGAAGAATAATTGTATGTTACAAGCCTGTTATAAGATTATTGAAATGAATAATATCTAATATTTTTAAAGACATTTGGTTTGTATATTCATATTCAAAATCTATTGGCTCGTCTAGAATCCACTACAGTACAACCTCGGACTAATTGTCGTCGATATGCATTCGGATAATCGAAAATCCGGATAATCAAATGTATGAAGAATAATGTTGTGTATTTATTGAAAATATCAAATGCATACATAGATATCAACGATAATAATATTTATTAAGAAATTGAAATTTCCTTATGTATGCATGTACATATTTCAGCAATTAATCATACAAAAATTCGAATTGTAGGTATGTATGTACATACATATAAATTGGTCGCGGTTGGTGGCCCGCAAATCCGAGGGATGGATAAACGAGGCTTTACTGTATAATATTTGGTAATGGTAATATCAAAATTAATTAATTTAATTTAATTATTTCAATTAATGAACTAATTATATTTAATGGTATCTGTAATTATCACTTTTGTATTGAATCAAAAAAAGACAAATAGACAAAAATAGAAGCAAAAGTTTTGTTACAATTTTCAATTTTTTTTTTTTAGAAATTCACATAAACTAGAATTTGATGAGTGCTTTAGAAATAGGTTTGATTCATATATGACAATGGTATTAGAAACTCGATATATCTTTATGGAAACTTACGCAAAGTCACGTTCCTCATCCCATCCGAGTAACTGCAGAACTTCATATCGTCCCATTGTTATAGGTGTAATCCGTCCGTTTGCTAGGAAACATAAATGTCTGTAGTTTCCAAAGACACCGTCTCGAACTTGAAGCCGTTGCAGAAGTAAAGTCGCTTCTTGTTCTGTTCGTTCTTCTGACGCCTAAGAACAAAAATTTAATAGTTAATGCATTACATTTACATTATTCAAGTATTATATATATATATATATATATATATATCTATTAACTTATATTTTTATAAACAATCATAACTGAATAACAATATAAGAATTGGCTTGAACCACAAAAAATGATAAAACGCTTCAATTGATATTTATGAAAAATTTGACAGTATTGAAAAATACAGTTTCAAGAATATATTTTGTTTAGCATTGCAAAAACAATCAAATATAAAACTAATCGAAAGTTTATTACATTTTGTTCTAAGGCAAGTTGCAAATATTTCCCGATAGATGTAATAATTGGTTCAATCAACCAAAATTGAAATGTATGTAGATACATATATAAATAAATACTTAACTGTCTTTTTCAATAACACAGTTTTTTAAAATTTTTATTTAAAATAAATTTTTAACATTAAACCACATGTTGTAGGGCCGTAGTGTTTAAGTATGTTCTATAAGACCATGATATCTATAGTAAAAAAAATTATAAAAATCGCCAAGAAAAAAATTCAACGGTTAATTATAGTGACAATAATCTATATTAAGACACAACTCAATCTATTTCTTAATTTACCTGATTATTTTTCTCAGCTGATTTACCTCCTGCAATCGACTGTCGTTTTTGGCTTTCATTTGTTTTAGCCGATAAGGAATTTGCATTTGATTTGGCTAAACTTTTTTGACTATTCAATTGTAAAACCTTTTTTGAAAACACTGGCGGATCTAAGGGTTCTACCCATACGTTCGATTCTGCATGCTCAGTTAAAACCTACAAAATGGAAAAAAAATAATATATACAAGTAAATATCTTATGGAAAACGTAAGTTGTTTAGATAGTTTAAGATCTAGTTATAATACAAGACAAATAAATTAAAGTCAACAGTAAAAGCAGTAAAAAGTACAGTAAAAATATGAACAAACACATTTATCATAAGTTCTTTATAATTTATATTAATTCTACAATATTTTCATATTACAAGTAATTGAATTTAGAGAAATACTTAAAACGTCATGGTCTGATGCACCTAATTCAAAAATTATGTACACGTATTGCAAAGTCTTGATGCAAATGGAACTGAATATCGAGTCATGTTTTATTCTATGTTATACATTTTTTGATGTATCTAATTCAAAAATTATGTACAAGAATTACAAAAAGCTTTATGCAAATGAATCTGAATATTAAGTTATGATTTATTTCATATTTTACGTTCACCAAAACTTTTGTTTAGGTACTTTTTAGAAAAATAGCAAACTGCATGAGGCTCTGTGGCAATCTTTTAAATGTAATTAAAAAGATTAAAAAAAAAATTGAAACAAATAAATCAAAGTCTACAGTAAAAGCTGTAAAAATATGACCAAAGACATTTATCAAAAGTTCTTCATATTTTCTATTATTTCTACTTTATTTTTATATTACAAGTAAGTAAATTAATTTTGAGAAGACCTGATCTACCTAATTCAAAATAATAAGTTAATGTATACAAACCTAGTAATAAATCATATGAATCTTATAAATCTAATTCACTATTCATCTCGAAGTCGAACATTCAAGACCCAAAATAGATATGTTGTGTTAGTGGTCTCTATTGTTGAATAATTACGACGTGTCAAAAAGTTATATCTTTTTTGTTCGAATTTTACACAATATGAAATTACAAATTTAAAATAACAATGTTATCTTAAGTGCTACTTTTTCGAACAAAGTTTAGGTTTTAGAAGTGAAATTGTGTTAAATGCTCGATCGAATAGCTAAGACATAAGTCTTCAACAGTTCTTAACCACCAGCTTGTGCAATTTTTCATCAAAAAGATCAGTGACATTACATAATTATTTTATCCGAGAATTGGCAACTCAGTGATGCGTCTTAAAATTCAGCTTAGAACTTAATAATTAAAATAGGGTAATAATTAAGTAATCAAAACTAAAACAAAAACAGTTACCAAGACTATTAATTATATTTTACCTCTTGACATTGATAGGTAGGAGGCGAACAAACGCCCGTGATGGCAATTTTCTGATCTCTATCAATCCACGTCGCAACTAGTTTGGCCTCCCAGTCCAAACCTCCCAGGTACCAGTCAGATGAAGCATTTGCAATACTAGAATTTGTTATCGAGACAACTACAGAAGGAGGTTTGACTTTCTCCGATGTCAGGAATTTGAGGTTGCTCCGCGATAGATTCACTACGTAAAGTGATACTTCAGGATTAGGAGTGTTCACCTGCAAAGAAAAATATATGTGAAATGAATTTTTTTTATTATGATTAGAGATAATTATTTGTTATTCAGTGTAAAATCTTAAATTTAACCGTCAATTCACTTGTGAAATTTTGTTTTTTTTTACATTAATGAAGATCTTCAATAATAAAATTTAGCTTAAAAATTAACATTCAGTAAAGATAAACTATCAACAATCTATCAAGCGTTAAATTTTCTTTATCGTTTTACAGAAACTAGTGCTGCATGGCATCGAGCCTTAAGACAAATTGTTGGAATTTCAGATTTTTTTTATTTTTGTTTTTTTTTTTGTATTTTGATTTTTTATGAAAAATTTGAACATTTTTTTAGGCAATCGCGCTGCCTAACTGATTTGAAGTCGAAATATCAAAGCGCGTAAGCGCCGCGTAGTCTTCCAACGTATAAATATTGGCATGGAACTCATATAAATGTACACAAAATTTGTATTTATCAATATGATCTTTAAAATATCAAATAATATGATGTACATACGTCTAATGTTCATTTTTGACCGCCAAATGGCATTATTTTTTACTTTTTTTAGTGGATCTCCGGAGACGCTGGACCTGCACAAAAATTTCGTTGTGAAATGTTTTCTGAACTATTCAAATCAGACGCTCCGTTATCTCAAAAACTAAAATATCATTTCTGGCAAACTTTGCCCCGTATCTTCAAAACGACTAAAACTAAACTCCTAAAACTAATCAGTACGTCTACTTATTAGTAGGAATCGACGAAAATTTGTATCCGCACACACAAACATGCACACTCGCGTACACGGGGACACGAGCGCACGCACACAAAAACATATCCATTTTTTCTAAGGTATGTCAAAGTGTTGAGAAACCTCTGAAACGTAAAGATATGTAAAAATTTTCATTTTCGATTTTTTGTAATTACTATAACTTATCCTATGGGAGATTAATAAAATTACAACACCAAATAATGAATTATGTTGAGCAAAACAAATATTAAAATTATAATTTCATTGAAAAAGTTTTCAGCTTTAAGCTAATTAATTTAAAATGGTTTTTGATTTGTACTTGCTCTAAAAAGCACTATTTTATGTGCTTAAAGTTAGAATTTCGAAATTCTAAAGTCACAGTTTCAAAAGTATCTAAAATCATTTGCACCTACTTATATCGATTATTTATACATATCGGAAAAAAATGCCACCTATAGCTAATTTACTCATAGATTTTTTAGAAAGGAAGATAAATCTTTTGATATTGTAATCAACCTGAGCAGTTAATATTCAAATAAATAAATGTAGGCTATAATTGTATTTATTTAAATATATTTTATATATCTTTGATGTTAACTTTGTTTTTGTATTTTAATTGAACTGTCGCAAAAATTATAGAAAAACATTAGTGCTTTTTAGCAATAATGTGATGTTAAGGAACAAAATCATTGTTATATATATATATATATATATATATATATACACACACACACACACACACACACACACACACACACACATATATATATATATATATATATATATATTATAATATCTGCCGGTAAGTGCACTACATTTTTATTTAAATTTTATGTTAAAACACAAGTTTCAAATAAAAATATTTTCATCGCATATTGTTACACTAACATTTTATAACAGCATATCATTTTTCTAGATTTTCTAGGAAGGTAGGCTATTTTGATTAAATTCACAAAGCATAGATGCATACTTATAAATTCTTTTCTGAAACCATCGTCATGTTGAAAAATAGTATATATAAGTTTTTTAATATCCAGTATCATTATGATGCATTTCTCTTCAGAACTATTTCATATTCTATAATTGTACCGAGAATGACAGGAATGGAGTTGAAAACTTATTTCATTAAGCGAAAGTTATGGTGTTTTTACAGAGATGAAATATATTAAATCTCTTGAGCAATACAATTTTATGAACAATAATTCATTTACAGATATTTGACTCAAAGTAGGCTCCTAAAGAAAATAACATTTAATATGTTCAAAGCGGTTGGAACAAGGATAAAACTTTATGAGAAATAAGTAATAATTTTTTATCTATTCGATTATAAATTATTTCAGTGAATTTTACAACGTACACTTCAATGAATTTTATTTTTCTGGGCTCTTATCGGGTTAGATTAATTTTAAAACCATAAAAATTACAATCATAAAATGAACATAATAATGTGCTTGATAATAAAAAGTTGTCGGATAACTATTATTAATACTACTTTGCACAGACCGAACATTCATTAGAAATATGGTAAATTATATGAGATAATTGATCATATCGATTAATTAATTTGAATTAAAACCGATTTGAACCATTTGTTCATCAAATTTTTTCACAAATATCGAAAATAAAAAAATAGTTTGAGTCATATATCGTAATTACTAGTTTTATGTATATCGTTTAATCCTATAAAATGTAATAAACAGAAGCACGATCTAAGTCATAAACGGAATATTTATCAAACACACATATTTATATTTTGTAAAAGAACATATCTTTTTTGTAAATCGACTCTTTATTGTTTTTTAATTCACATATCATTCTGATTTACCTATAAATCAAATATTCCTACCACACAAATGGTAGAAAAAACAATAGTTTTGACAAACGCAACAGTCATTCTTGAAAGATTTTTAAAAAAATGTGTAATATTAGAATTTTATTTGAACCTTCAAGAAGAAGAAGTTTATGTGTTTACAGTAAAGTTCAACTTTTGACACAAACATCTGAACCATTTTCAAGCCATTTTTACTTAACATGACTATTTGTTGAACATCCTTATAATGCAAAATATAAATTTGTGGGTACATTTTTTCAGAAAAATGACACTGTGTATAACCATGATCTAGTATTTTATTACTTATCAACAGAGTGGAAAACCCATCAATTGAATTAATTTTTTGTAAACTTGACTTTTTCTGAGGTTATATATTCAATTCCTATTATTTATTGTTTACGCCTTTACCAGGTAAAGCTCAGTTCTTTAAATAACGCACAGTTAAAATTTTTATTAATATTTCGTAAACTAAACAAAAGTGCTCACGACAAAAAAACAAGAAGTAATACTTTTGTTATAAATTTCCAAACAAGGCTGTTCATCTCCTGATAGCTGAACACACATCTTTTCTCCTCTACTTTTAAATATTGTTAGTAAAAAATTTCTAACTTTACTTGTTTTTACTTTGTACCTAGGGATTTTTAAGACGCGTTCCACCCTATGCATTTATTTAATATTAAATATTGAAAATCTGAAATTGATACAAAGCAATGTAGATGAAGTTTTACCATAAAATACCAAATGAAATTTCAAAAAGTGAGAATAATATTTCATGATATAATTCATTTTCAAAATGTACGAATGTGTATTCCACTTAGTTTGGACATAATTGTCAATTGTTAGATACACCTATCTAAAAGTGTGGGCAGCTGTAGCTAGAATTGGATGACTTGATTTTATATATCCATAATATGATCAAATATTGCGTAAAGCCTTAGGAAATGACTACTTTATAGTCAGATGTACTTCTCACATAACATTTGAGATAATTTGAGGCTGGCCGGTTCGACTTTAGCCCCTAATGCTAGAAGCGCTAATTCGGCAAACGGATTCTCCTTTGACCTATTATGTTTTGCTCTAGTAATCTTCTATTTACATGTACTTATCCGAAAGGCACACCCGGGTTACTATTAGGTCTGCGCAAACTGAAGTCAAAGTTGAAATGTTTGTCAAAGTCGAATGTCTCGTCGTCCTAGAGTAATAAAGTGTAGGTAAATACTAAAAGGCACGCAAAACATTTGAACTTGTAATTATTTCGCCTGAGAAGACACCGGCGATGTTTTTTCTATGGATTATATTTAATGACTCCAAGTGATGGGACGGAAATGCTGACAAATTGGTCTAACAGAATTATCTATAGTTGTTGTGCCCTTGTAAATAGAAGAGTTTTTCACTTTCATTGATAAATTTGCTTCATTTTTCTTCGCAAAAACGTATAATTTGGATAATCTTGTTTGTGTACTTGTATTTACGTCTAAATGATAATGAAAATTAAACTAAAATGAGTTCTTATTTATATTTCAAAATAATTTGATTTAATTTTTGCTTACAGAAAACAGAAGATTTCCAATACTGCGGATTTCTGTCTGTAGCAAGAGTTATTTTCTAAATTAATATAATATGTTTTTTAAATAATAGTAATGTATATATTAATGCTTTCTAATCCTATATCTAATCTTCGATGATTTTAGAATCAAGTAAGCGCCAAAAAAAATCTGTTCATATTTTTAACTTCCCGTATTCTTATTGATAAAGAGATGTGCTGTTTAGTTTTTTGCAAAGGCAGATCCAACCGTTGCGGAGACACGAAAATAGAAATTGAGTGTTTGAGAGCACGGAGTATCCAATGTGAATGATCCGAGAAATATTCATTTTGTAATGATTAGGAGAAGTGGTGTTTAGTTTTTGGCAAAGGCAGGTCGAAGGCAAGAAGCAACAGTGCTAATTGTACAAAAAATGGCAGTTTTTATAAGAACTAAGTATCCGATTTGCTTAAGTTGACAAAACAATTGTTTTGGGAATAAAATATTTTTTATTTAATTTTGTTTTTCAAAATATAGAAATATCGAAAATAATTCAGATTTTAATTTTAATTCTGGCTAAAGTTCTAAAGCTCACTTATATAATTTAAATAAAGCATTTTAACTTTGCAATTCAGTTTATATAATTCTTATAAATATTAGAAAATTTTACAATATTTATAATAATCTATTTGAAAACCTTTAATATTTCTCGAACATTCTGCTACCGCTAGTTCCATAATACAATTTTATCAATTTTAACGAACAAAAGTTCAATTGTTAAGCTGGCAAATAAGTAATAAGTAAGTCTCAGTCGTGTTTTATCTGGTATAACTTTCTTATCAGATTCATAAGTTAAGAAAATAAATTTATCTATTTAAGCTGTGAGAACTATAGTTAAACTTTAGAGATAGTTTACGCAATTAGTAAACTAAAGCTCACTTTTTGAAATTATCTCGAATTACATATGACAACGTAAAATTCAAAGCTATTTAGCATATCTAATAGAACTATGTCATAATTTTAGTATGTACATTCTACTACTAAAATATTTCTGTCACTAGTTTCAATCAATAGTGTTCTTCATCTAGTATAATATGTAAAATTGCATAATATGTAAAATTTGTCGGACAAGATATTATCATGGTTAAATTATTTAAAATCAAATTGTTTGTAGTTAATATTAGGTAATATAAAATTAGATGTAAATCTTCTGATTTTAGAATATGTGAAATGATTTCTATAATTTTTTATCCTTTATTCTATCAAATGGAAAGACATTCAATTGACAGTATCTGAGATTTTAAAAATGCATTAAAGTAAGCATTAAAGTGTAAGATAACTAATTAGAGAAGTGTGCGGCCTTTCAAGTATTTCACATTTCTATTTGTATTCAGAGATTTCAGTTTTAGTTTATCGTAACATGCATAAAAATGATAATAGTTCTGAATAAGTTAATTTCAAATACAAAAAAACTATTGCTGTTGAACTACACATTATGGACACATATATGGAACATATTGAATTATTATTTTTCAAGTAATTCAGTTCAAGAATATTCAAAATAAAGCTTTGTTACAATATTCTCAGTTAACAAAAATAAATGTTTTTTTTGCCATGAATACATTTGTGATTTATGTTATATTGAAATTTTTATAGATTTCAAATTTCTACAAGTCAATTGATTAAAAAATTATAAATTTGTATGACTAAAAATGATTATCTGTTGTAAGCACTCGCGATTAATATCTATGTGCTAACGTCCTTGCAAATAGTTCTAAATGGATAACCGAATTCTAAGCTCAGAACAATCGATTTAGATTTGATATTCCGGATTGTAGTACTATTATTAACAGCCAATATGAGCATTGAGTATTCCTATCGCATATATGCCGGAGACATATCGAGATATGTGACCGCGCTGCACCAATTTACTTAACATTGGATGATATATATTTCCATACTTGTTCAAATGAATTATTAGTAGCAAATGCAATTCAACTGGATTTTGTTATAACAAAAATGACTTATGCCTAAACATAAGTTTATGACAACTCATCTATACAATAACATTTTTATATTTTTTAGCAATTAAAACTTAAAATTGAAGTTGCATTTGCGAAATCTATCTAATACAAATTACTTTATATGCACTCTTTTCAATATTTATATTATTATTAAATATGAATAATTATCTTTTGGAGTGAAGAAAGAAAATTATTTGAAATAGTTATAAAATTTCAAGAAACAATACTATATATCCCTTTCTTTTTTCGACTAATCATCTTCACACTGTTATTTGGTCTCCACCGACCACAGCCTGTTAACTGCTTAATGAGGGTATCATAAAAGTATTTAATTAAAAATAATTATTATTAGTTTTCAATAAGTAGTAATCATTATAGATTATATAAAAAACACAGTGATGTTATAAGAAATTTTAAATATAGTTTTATAATTCATAATAAATTCAGATTTTTTGCATTTTGAAAAGTAACATCAATTTAAAACAATATATTATTATTATTACTATATCCATGGCGGCAATATTCTTAGTGAGATGAGTACTGATTTGGACAATTAAAAATTTGAGGTTTCAAAACTATTAGAGTGGAATTTGTATAATAAATATACAATGTAATACATTGTAAAACGATTTCAAAAATTACTAAACTATAGAACAAAATTGTATCTCATCGGCCTTGTTCGTTAATGTGAAAATATAATATAATATAAACTTAATTAAATATGGCAATAAAAAATATATAATTCAATCAAAATTGTCATTAAAATGTAATCATATATTGTACTTCGTTCCTTGCCGTGGTAAATATATTTATATAATATGTATGTAAATTATACGAACAAATGCTAAATAAAAGGTATAATTATATAAAAAATTGTTTTTAGATTTTCTCTATTTTATAGATTCAAACTATATAAATCAATATATATAAAACATGTATGAATTTTATTATTCATGAAAATTTTTCATGATATTTTATGGAAATTTTTCCTTGTAATTTAAACTTTTTACTTAAAATGTACAAGATCGCTCCACCGTAATGAAACTATGGTTTTCTTTTAACAGATAAAAATTTGAATATACTTGTGGTTGTGTGAAATTCAAGGTATTATAGCGTTTTTATAAATTAATATTATTCATGAAATATTTCAAGTAATCATGACTACTTATTATTAAACTTATTAGGTGACTATTACCTATAAATTTTAAGTTTGTCATACGAATAAACGCGTACATATAAATGCAAAATCATTAAAAGCCTTTGAAGTTTTTATACATTGTAAAACAATAATTCAAGAATACCACTAGATATTTATTTAAGATAAATAAATAAGACTATATATTTATTTAAGATAAATAAATAAGAATATATTTTACATGGAATTCATTCATGTATTTTTGGTCATAATAATAAAGTTGTGTGCAAGTAGATTTTGAGTTACGTACAAAATGAATCCGAAACTAATGATTTAAGAATTATTATGATGACTTATACTCAATATATGCGCATTTCCGCACAAACTTTTTTTATTATAGTACTATAATAAAGCACAAAATGATGTAAAGCGCATTTGATTAGGGATACAATAACAGAACTAGCGAACATTAATTTATTGAACTTTTTAGTAATTATTTACAATAATGTGGAACTCAAAAGTATTTTGATAAGTAAAGATAATGGTTCAAAAATAAATAAGAGTTTTTTTTAGATTGGGAAAAATATCATCAGCATACGCATTTAATAATGGTAAGTAATAATTACACTTTCTAAACTTGGATAATATGTGAAACTTGGAATTGGTTAATATAATTGAATTAATTATGTATAATTGCATCCGTTCTGAGAACACGAAATTCAATTCGTTCTGAGATCGCGTGCTAATAAGCCTCTACACGCTAATTAAAGTATTAGGATCGGGTTCCCGCTCTTATGTATGCAAGTAGCCATATTACGATGCAAAGCATATAGGTTGAGGTACAACAGCTTGTATTGCAAATACCATATTCAGCGTGTTTACCGAATTCATTAGGCAAATGACTGCATGCAAAGTATATACATTGTTTGAATAATAATCGAGATATTAACGGCACGTGCTTCTATTTGTATAAGTGCTAATTTGCTTTAAAGGGGAATATGATATATGACGCTTGACGCAGAACTTGATATCAACGCCAGTCTGACTGGAAATCAGCAGCGCTACTACGGTAACGAGACACTTTCAGGAGACATATCAGATTTTTGTTTTAATTTAGACAAACATTTTTTCGTCACTTCTTCCGCTTACAATTTTATTCATAGCTTTTATAAAAAAAATATTAATACTATTTGATTTAAGAGAAACCTAATTTGTAGGCAAAAGTGCACCATGATCAATAAGCAAATTAGTTGGTATTGGTATTTTGCTTTGATGCAAGTTACATGAACTTTTCGATATGTGCAAGCAATCGACTTAATCAATAAAAAATAAGTTTTTAAAGTATTCTGAGTCGATTTATTACACACAATTGAAAACGAACGAACGCGTTAACTCGGAGTATTTTCTAAATGCAAATTTTCAAAAATCAACAATTTTTTTCAATGGAACCAGTTTCCGTATGACTTTAATGGTTTAGTATGTCCATTAAGACCAAGTGCTCTATTGTTATACCGAGTAAATAGTCTAACTTTAATTTCGACTCGGATGCAAAATTCATATAAATCTCGTGACTACTTGTCGTGAGGCCGTAATATTTCGGTAAGTTCTGTAAGACCATGATATATATCGCCAACAAAGTTTCATAAAAATCGGCTCAATTTTTTTTTTCTACAGATAATTACAAGAAAACGGCTCGGTAGATTAAACTAAAACTAATCAGTATCATTCCCAGCTAATATCTTTCGAACAGTTTTTGACTTTTTAAAATCGATTCGGTAATATGAGCTTAAATGTGGACGAAAAGTTTAACACTTTTTTCAAACTACAAAGAAACTGCTCGGCAGATCTTCGCATAAATCTGACAAGATACATCGAATGGCTTTTAAATTTTTTAAATAGGTTCAGCCGTCTTTGAGAAAACGATGATTTACGGCAAAAAAATCTGTTCACATATACACATACACTTTTTTCCAAATTTGGTTTCAATCAATTCAGAATGGCTTGAAACGTCGAGAAAACATAAAATTAGCGAATCGAATTTTTTGATGAAAACATATACTTCTCCTTCGGAAAGTTAAAAGGACTAAATTCAGAGTATGAATAAATAAATAAATAAATAATAATATATACTATATATATATATATATATATATATATATATATAAAGTAATATTCACTTACTTTTGGATAACGCAGTGTTTTCACTTCTGGATATAGCAGTTTCTCGCCAAAGTAAGAGTATCTGTAAGATATTACATGAACATTAGCATATGAATTATTTACAATTTGGTATGACATATATATATAGGGTCGTCGCTGATATAAATATTTTCAAATTGCTTTGCTCCCAGGGGCTTCCAAAATGATAAAAAAAATTTCCGAAAGTTTTGCCTCTTTATCAACTTCAAGCACTCCAATCAAAGCTTCTTATGGAAATAACATGGGTAAAATTCAATTTTTTTTTGGTTTTCATAACATAGCAAAAAATGAATCAAAATTCTAATAATAACATATATAATTATAATTATATATGTAACAAATTATAATATTAGCATTCACTCATTTTGATCATGAAAAAATACTTACAACAAAAATTTAATATAACTTATAAAATAAGTATTAACTCAGGAAGAAGAACCAAGAAATTTTGGTTGGAGTGCGGACTATCTCAAAGTTAATATTAAAAGCTAAAACTTTCAGCGATTTTATTATCAATTAAAAGCATCAATATGAGAGCCCCTGGTAGCAAAAAAAATCGAAAATATCCGTATTAAAGCCTACCCTAGTTGTAGGGTGTGTGTGTACCAATGTACCTATACATTATGAATCTCATTCATTCGTTTTATTTGTGCGCAAAGTTATTAATTAAATATAATTGCATGTATCCAAAACGAAACGAACCCATGTCATAACTATATTTTAACAAGCGGAATGCATTAATGAATAACTGCACAGCAAAATGATAGACTGAAATGCCAATATTTTTGTAAATAGAGTCGGAATAAATTAAACGCATACAGCAAATACAGAAAAAAATGTGTATAAATGGTATGTTCAAAATATACAAATTATAAATGAACATATCGAAGCGTCAGTATAGCATATCCTATATTTATTAATATTCATTTTTTATTTTAATTCATATTTATTGATATATTACTTCAAGATTATGGAACAAAAATGGTTTGCAAAGTTAAAATTATTGAAACAATTAAAATGCATGCAATGAATATTATTTTTAATTATGGCGGGTATTTAATAATTGTTTTATATTGCATATAAGAGTTGGAATAAAGGGTATGGGCGTGTTTCCTTACAGAATTGACCCACCCTGCTATTTAAATAATTTTGATGCCATTTGACAAGTGTTTTCAAAAAAATCCGATATAAATTAAATATCGTTTTAGTTCAACAATTAATAAGAGTAGTTACAGGCAGAGATATTCCATTCAATATATTTTAATATATATTATTTAATTTTGTCGATATCTTTTACAGTTGCGACAAAAAATGACTTTGAAAAAAAAGGGCCACTTTCACACATTTTCCATGATATATAGGCCAAATGATGAGCTACGGATTTGAAATGTGGTATATAGGATTTTTTCGAAAATACTTATAAAATGGCATCAAAATTATTTAAATACCAGGGTGGGGCCAATTCTGTATGAAAACACGCCCATACCCTTTATGTTGACATAATTTGTAAAAGTCATTTTGGAAGTACAAGTGGTAATGCGATACCCGATAATATAGTGAACATTGCAATATTTAGAAATTGATATTGATAGAAACTTGTAGAACAAAGCATTGTAGAAAGTGTCTATTCTTTGCAAAGACACTAGATATATTAATAAAATATTGCTATTGCTGTCAAATATAACTTCTATTCATTCGAAACTTAGTTCTCCAGACTGATTATTCCAGACAATAGTGTCGAATTTTCTTGATTGAATTCGATGAATAAGTGTCATACTAGAAAAATCTTTCTATAAATTATTCACTTTTGTGCGCTCGGATTCAAAATAGTATGAGTTTCTTTAAAAGAAATCAGCTAGAAATTGCACTGATTATTTTTAAAATGAATACTTGAAAATAAGCGATGAAATACGAACTCATTTAGACAAGTAAAAAAGCCACCTCGAAGATCTTCCAAATTTATTAGCCAGAGAACACCGCCAGAATTCTACCAGGTCTAGCTTAAAAAAAGTGCATTTTATAATATTCACTTTGAATCTCAAATAACTGCCAATGACCAGATGGTTTTATATTTTTGAAGCATATTTTTACTTTCAAAACTTTACTCATTGTTCTTTTAGAATAGATGTGAAAACTAGTGATGCATGGCCCTAAGGCAAATTGCTGGAGCTTTCCGTACGGAAAATCAAAATTTTTACAAAACCTTTAAAATGTTTTGAAAAATTTGAAACAAATGAGGTTTTTGAAAATTTTTAAATTTTTGAAAAAAAACTGTTTATTTGAATATTTCTTATATTACTTACTTTTGTTACACCTTGAACTTTTTTGAAAATTTTGATTTTTTTTTAAAGCAATCGTGCTACTGACTGTTTTCGAAAAGAAATATCAAAGCGCGTAAGCGCCGCATTGCAGTCTAACGGATAAACATTGGTACGAGGCCCATATAATTGTAAGCAAACATCATACTTATTATTAAGATCGCTATAAAATATTCCATAATTTGATGTGCATATGTTTAACGATCATTTTTGACCGCATTTTTTTCGAAATCTGAAAACGCTAGACCTGTCTTTGGAAAAAATAAACGATACTTCATTTTGTCAATACAAATAAAATGTTTTTTGAATTATTCAAATTGGACGTTCCGTTTTCTCAAGAACTGATTTACCATTCTTAGCTATTTTTGCCCCGTATATTCTAATCGGCTAGACCTGCCTTGGCCAAAAACTAATCAGCACGCCTCCTTATCTAGGTATTGCTTAATAGGAATCGAATGTTTTTTGAATCATTAAAATCACATACGAATACATTAATTTGAAAAGTTTAAAAAAATTTAAAGTAATATTACTCAGTATTATATTTGCACCAAATACCAATCAACAATATATCCGAACCTCAAATCCTCCATGCAAACCAGATATGTCCACGCCGGTACGGGATTGATTACGCAAATGCTTGCAGGTTTCATGTGAGGTTACCAGAGCTCATCAAAGTTTACCAGAGCTTTCGGGATAAATTATTATAAAGCCGGATTATTATAATACTGAGCGGCTTTGTGTATGTACAGGTTCTTGTCATTGCAAATTCTATAGTGCAGTGACAAGTAAAACGTGATTACTGCAACGGAAATGCGCACTATGCGAATGCTCATGCTTTTATTTTTATTCGTTACTGTGCTATTACAGTGGAATTTGCACAAAAAAATCTGACTCGAACAAACAAAATTGTATGCCCGATAATTGATAATTTTATAATAAATAATATAATGAAATGAAAACAAGCGGAGTTAAAACCTTAATTCATTTTCCTAAGCATTATATATACTGAATTGTAAAGTTATAATTATTCATTTTGAGTATAATTAAAGAAAAATAATTAAAAACCTTTTGTTTTTTTTGAAATTTTTAAATTAATTAATATTTGCCAGAACAACTAGTAGTTCCTTCATACTCACAATAAAAGCAAAATGTTTTTTGTATCATTGGAATCGGATACTGCTTCTCAAAAACTGAAATTTTAGCATCATCTAAATCGGTTGACCCGTTCTTTTAAAAACGGTCATTTTAGCACTTTTTGCTCCATATCTCCGAAGCAGCAAGACCTGTCTTCATCAAAAATTAATCAGCACGTTTCCTCATCAATAAGAATCGAATGTTTTTTAAACCATTCAAATCGGTTAATCCGTATGCCCGAAATCGTTGACAAAAAATTGTCTCTACACATTCATACGCTCACACATACACATACATCCACTTTTTCTAAGGTATGCCAAAACCTCTAAAACGTAAGGATATGCAAAAATGTTCATTTTCGATTTTTGGATGATTTCTATAACTTACCCTTCGATTTAGGAATAAAAGATTTTTCGTTAACGACGCTTAAAAAATATGGCCAATTTTCAACTTCCCGAAGGAGAAGTTTGTTTTCGCCAGAAAAACCGATTTGCTAATTTTATGTTTTCTCGGCGTTTCAAGTTGTTCTGCATCGAATAAGACCAAATTTGGAAAAAGTATGTTTACGTGTATGTGTGTATATATCTGTGAATTTGAATGTGAGCAGATTATTGATCTTTCGTCAATCGATTTCAAAAATTTAAAAGTCATTCGATGTAACTCGATAATAACTAACGTTGATTAGTTTTACGCGACGATTGGCTATAAATTCGGCTTTAAACGGCTTTAACTTAAAAAAAATTATCAAAGTTTCATAAAATGTAATGAGTCAAAATTCTGTTTTCGTCAACAACTTAAAAACGGCTTAACACATTTCAAGCTATTTGATGAAACTTGATGGGGAGACAACTGGATTATGTTGCGAGAGGAACGGCAAACACCTTTCTTTTAAATAAGCAGGAATGCATAAAAAATTACCTAGTTTTAAAAATTGCATTGATTAATTTTTAGCAAAAGCAAGAAATTTAGAAAAGAAAATAATTAATAGCTTGAATGCTCAGAGAAAAAATATGTGACTAAATATAAAATTATTGAGATATGAAATATGATATTTTAGTATTGACTATTACGTGAGCAAATATATTTCATTCAGTAATACTTTTCATTACTATTTTTAGAAGGTTATCAGAGTTCAGAAAGTTACCAGAATTCCGAAAGTAGACACAACAACCACGTTAAAGATAGACATGAGAAATCTGATATTATGCCACAGAAATAATATAAAAACATTCTCAGAGTAAACAAGAAAAATATAGGTAAAATATTGGTTGGAAAATGTGTAGTTTCAATAAGTTTAAAATATTATTTTTTAATGTTCAATTATTTCGAATGTTACAAAAATAATATGTAATAAAGAATGACGATGGAATGATTATATTATATTCAGATTACAGGATGATTAAAATTGATGAAAAATATAACATTTTTACATAATGTTACTATAAAAAACTGCAGTTTGCGTTAGCTTACAATTAATTTTGTTCCTGATTCAATCATGAAAATTGGGAGAATGTGTTACTATGTATATATGTGCCTATTGTTTTATAGCTATTGTTTTTTAATCTATATTTATAATTTTCACAACTATTCTGGAAGTGTAGGCGGTTGTCACGATCGCCCTTTTCTTATAGATAAGATAGTATTCAGCATTTTCACTTAAATGTACAAATTACCATTCAATTTACTTTTTGTCAGATAACTGGTAAATTAATAAAATTATTAATATACAAAAAACTGACTCAACCAAACCCCGTGTACACTTCGCTTTCAATATTATTGTTTTCAAAATCAAAATTCAATATTTTTCATTTGTATCAGAAATACCACCAGACGGAGTTGTGAAACATTTCACGTGTCAGTCAAAATTTACATAGATCGACGCCAGATTAAGTTCTCTCATGGGATCCAGACTAATAAAAAATCCTTTAGAAACAGATTATTTATAAAACCACCAGTCGTGAGATATTTGAACATCAACGAACCCTCGTCTCTCTAAATCCACATTTAATGCAGACAAATCGCAATGGTTCAATTTTATCTAGGGAGTTTTTACCTAAGTTTTATTTTTGATGCTGTGCATTGAGAGAGGGTGCTTTAGAGACCTTTTTTAACATTAAATTCGTATCACATGTACCTGTACTCTCCGACTTTTGTGTCATTGTACGTGAGATAGGCTAAACTGCTGCCGTCTGGTGAAAATACCATAGACCTGCCCCAGTCTCGTAGGCCTCGAGTGCTGTACAACCAGTCCGGGACGCCGTTGTATATCAGGCCGACTCGTCCTGGAGGAAAAGACATACAATTAATTATTGTGTGTATAAATTAAATTTTGAGTTAAAATTCAAATAAAATGAAAATTGAAATCAAGTACAGGTATTTCGTATAACAAAATAGATTGATTTATGAACTACGTTTTAAAAATGAATACCCACTCTAAAAACTATATCTGAAATGATATGTTATATTATATAATTCATAAATTACGTATTATATTTTGAGAATATAGATAGCCCTGATACGGCATTGTTACATCAATAGAAGGTTATCAATATTACAATAATTGTAATAATAAAATTCATCACATCGAGATAAATAGTTTGTGGGAAATTCATCACCGCAGCTCATAGAACCCACAAGTTCTGATCGCTTTTCATATAAAAAAAAATAAAACTAGTTGGTTTGGTGTTTAGTCTTGAGGCAAGTTACATGAACTTCCCGATATGTTTAAATAATTGACTTAATCAATAAAAAATAAATTAATTTATGAGTGATTAAAAGTATTCCGAGTGATTTTATTACACATAATTGAAAACGAACGAACACTTTGACTCGAAGTATTTTCTAAAAGCAAATTTTCAAAAATCAATAATTTTTATTATTGAACCAGTTTCCAGGACTTTAATGGTTTATTATGTTCAAGACCAAGTACTCTATCATTATACCAAATAAATAGTCTAATTTTAATTTTAGCAAATGTCAAAAGAACTACTCATTTTCTCAAACTGTGATGAATTTTTAAAATTAAACTACTTGCCGTAAAGCCGTAATAATTTAGTAAGTTCTATAAGATCATGGTATATATCGCTAAAAAAAGTTCCATAAAAATTGGCTTAATTTTTTTTCAAGAGTTAATTACAAGAAAACGGCTGCGTAGATTTTCACCTAAAACTAATCAGTATTATTCCCAACTAATATCTTTCAACCAGATTTTGGTTTTTTAAAATCGATTCGGTAGAATGAGCTTAAATGTTGACGAAAAGTTTAACACTTTTTTCCAAATTTCAAAGAAACGGCTCGGCCGATCGTCACACAAAAGTGACAAGCGATAGTTCCTCATTGAGACACGTCAAATGGTTTTTGAATTTCTGAAATCGGTGCAGGCGTTTTTGAGCAAACGTCGATGAAAGTTCTAATTTTGACAAATGCCAAAAAGACCATACTAATTTTTGCAAACTTTGACGAATTTTTAAAGCTAAACCAGTTGTCGTAGGGCCGTAATATTTTAGTATGATCTAGAAGACTGTGGTATCTACCATCGAAAAAATAATAATAAAAATCATCGAAAAAAATATTTTTAACACTTTATTACAAGAAAACGGCCCGGCCGATCTCTACCAAAAACTAATCAGCACGATTCCCAATCAATATCTTTCGAACAGTTTTTGAATTTTCAAAATCGATTAGGAATTGCGGGCTAAAACGTAGACGAAAAATTTTTCACTTTTCTGCTATTTACAAAGAAACGGCTTGGCTGATCGTCGCGCAAAATTGATAAACGCTAGTCCTCATCGAGATACATCGAATGGCTTTTAAGTTTTTAAAATCGGTCTAGCCATTTTTTAGAAAACGTCGATTTACGGCAAAAAATCTGTTCACACACACACACATACTTTTTCCAAATTTGGTCTCATTCGATTCAGAATGGCTTGAAACGTCGAGAAAACATAAAATTAGCGAATCGGATTTTTTGATGAAAACATAAACTTCTCCTTCGGGAAGTTAAAAATTGAGTATTACTATTTTTTATATAATGTATGTATTTATTTTTAGAAATAAAAAATATTCGTTTTAATTGAATACCATAATTCTATTTTAGTATTGTTCTAAACTGTTCTGTAATACGAACTTGGAAGACCAATTTAAAATTGAGAAGAATTATTAAGCAAATCTTATCAAAATTTATCATTGATTGATAGTATAATGCTTGTTGTAAACAATTCATGATAAGTATTAATTTAGAACGGCAGTAATGCCGTTATGGCTTTTATTACAAACCCATTTTTAGGGTTGGTCAACACTAAATATTTGTTTTATTATCATTTTTCATGCATTCCAAAATTTTACATAAGATCAAAAATATTAAGTATATTCCCGTACAAGTGTTGCGCGAGATGGCCAACACTGTTTTATGTTTTTAATTTCTAACCAATATTTTTTATAACGCGTAATTAAAAATATATATAGCCCCATTTTATTTCATCACGGGTTTATCACTCCATACGCTAGTAGTGTATGGCATCGTGCCTTAAAGAAAATTGCTAAAACCCCCCGTACCGCAATGTAATATTCAAAGAATAATAAATGTTTTCAAATAGATTATTATAAATCCGGTGGCTTCCATTATTCTTATTTTATAGACAAAATATAAGAGCTTATGAATTAAACCACGACGTTTATATGTATTACAAAAAAGTAAATAAACAAAACATAATGAGATTTTGAATGAAGGATATTATCTAATATTTATAAAAATTATATAAACTGAATTCCAAAGTTAAAATTATTTAAAATATATTTAGGCTTTAGAATATGAATCTTTGTTTTTATATTTATTTAAATCGGTTGTTCCGTATACACCCGAAATCTTTTATGAAAAATTGTTTCTAGACATACATACGTATATACGAAAACAATTTTTCTAATGTGTGCCAAAATGTTCAGAAACCTCTAAAATATGCAAAAATTTTCAATTTTGATTTTTGGACGATTGCAATAACTTACACTTAGGGAATTTAATTATATATATATATATATATATATATATATATATTTATTCTAATCGTAATTAATCTAAATCGTAAGTTAAGAGGTTAAATAAAGCTGATCATAATATATATCATAATCCTAATACACCATATATTAGGATTATGATATATAATATGATTAGCTTTATTTAACCTCTTAACTTACGATTTACATTAATTACGATTAGAATGTTAGGCCAAGTTGTAGAAGCTGACGCAGCGTTCATGACTACTTTCTCAGTGTACAGTAACAAAAATAAAAATACTTTTGTATTCTATAGTTTTGTATAAATAAATATTTTGTAACACTTGCGTTACCTTACCGGACGATGCCCGTAATGCGTAATATTTGTTTCAGGCTCGATTATCGTACGTGGGCTATGTCCGTAATATTTACGTTTGCCATAGCCATCGCACGCGGGCTATGCACGCCATTGTAAGTTAAGGGGTTAACCCAGTGGTTTCCAACCTTTTCTGCACCGATCCCCCCTGTTCTAATATAAAATTTGTCGCATCTCCCTTGTTTTTTCCAACAATTTTATTTCATAGATAATCAATTGATGTTATCAGACCAAATTAATTATGCGAAAATTTGCATAAAACTATATTTTTTGCTTATTTTTTTGTATTAATTCAGAATGTCCAACCTATGGTTTATTTTCCAATGGTATTTTGGAATGTGCCGTACGCGCCCTCTTAATTGGGCGCGCCCCACAGGTTGGAAACACAAGCACATAAATACAATGCTCTATTTTTTGTTTCATTGAATGGCAGTCCTAAAGATGGCAGAATACTTCATAAAAAAAACATAAACTTCTTCTTCGGTAGGTTAATAAAAAGACTTTGAAATTCGACTTTAGTACAAGTAATTTGAAATAGTGCAATTTGAGTAAATTATATTTTCGATCTGTTCAAGCTGTTGTAAATAATTATTTTAATTGGATTCAATAGAAAAAATATAATTAATATTATACACTCTCATTATCTTTTATTATCTTTAACAAATGACTAATTAAAAATCGTAACAGACGATGTTTAATATTTTAAACATTTGTGGCATTGATTTGTTTTAAGTTTGATGACGTAAGTACATATTGTTAATATCACAGAAATGCTTAAAGTCAACTAAATTTCAAATTTCGAGTAATTTTAGAATTACGTAAATTAAATTTCATAAATGTGGCGGACGTAGCTCAGAGGTAGCATGTCCGACTCACATGCCGGAGATCGATGGTTCGACTCCTGGCGCTTCCAAATAATTGTTAATTTGTAGAATACAAGAAAAAATAGAAGTAAATAGGAAAAAGAAGAAGTTTAGAAGATGAGAAGAACATATTGAGAAACAAGAAGAAGAATGAAAATTGGATAGAAGATTAGGATTTAAGAAGAGATAGTATATATATGATGAATGTATAAGAAATATATATGTAAGAATTGTATAGAATATGATGAAGAATAAAATGAATAATGTATGTGGCTAAAAATGCTGTAAAGCGGAGGCCAATAAAAAAAAAAAATTTTTTAAAAAAAAAATTTCATAAATCGAAGATTATTATATTTCAGTTAATATAAATTAGTAGTTGTGGCATCAAAAGAATGTGTTACCTTTACTCGGTTCATTTTTGCACTCGCCCAAACACACTGAACAACTCAATTGTTTTTACATGTACTCACTTAAACACTACATGTTAAACTAATATTTATTATAAAGAAATCGTTTGCCGGCACTTAACACTTTTTACACACACACTAAATCTACATAATGACGCCACGCGACAAAAGCGCGCGAAAAATTTGTTGTGCGTTGTTTCCGAAGGCAAAGGTGTTACTGTGGCGATGACGCTACAACTACTGATTGCAATAAAAAAAAATTGCCAACAGGTGTCATGACAATCTTTACGAAAATTTTTTGGAAGAAAGTAATGCGAAGTTGGCCGAGCGGTCTAAATAGTTGGAGTCAAAGCGTAGCCCTAAAGGCGTCCGCGATGGAATCCCAGAGAAGACTAAATTGGGAACTTGATTTTTTTTTCTTCACTCTAAGTATTTGTACAGAAATTGTAAATATTTTTAATTTCAAAATTTTTAAAATAAAAATTTCATACCATCTGTATTTTACGGGAGTTCAATTCATAATTCTTCAAGTTCAAGTCATAATTGTTCGTGACATATATTTAAATATACTTACTGAACTATATTTACATATATTTTTACAATCTTAATACAATTATGGTAACAAAAACCAACCTCATAAAAAACTA